CAAATCCCCCCTTTTCTTAGTTTCTCTGTGTGCTTGGCAACGGTCCTCCTCTTTGCTAATTTTTCCTTCAGTGCCATAAACATAACTGTTTTATCTGGGGAATCTTGCTGCGCTAGGCAAGAGTTCAGTTCCCTGTGGGCACCACTTTTAAGAAAATTCCCCCGCTGATTTCATGGTTCTTTGTGTGTGTGTGTGTCTGTCTGTCTGTCTGTCTGTGTCTCTGTGTGACTCTCTCTACCCAAGCAAAACCACCAGGTGCTGTTAACTCAAGCCATACCTCAATGGGGCCACAAGGAAAGGGCTATCTTTCTGAATGAGCTATGGGGCCACAAGGAAAGGGCTATCTTTCTGAATGAGCTATGGGCTGATCTCAGGTGCCAGGCGAGCTGCCTCTGTGAAGGTTTAGTTTGCTGTACAGTTTAAATTCTGTGGTTCTTATTTCTGTGTATTTCTGACAATAGCGTGAATGATTAACACTTATTATTAGAGGAAGTTCTAAGCTGTAAAGTCAGCTGGAGAAAATACCCACAGGTCAGTCACAAACACTTGGGTTCCCCCGTAATAAGATTATATGGCAGTGGGTTAGAAGAGGCCCTGAGCAGTACTGACAACAAATTCAAAAATCTATTTGCTGCTCTTCTGGTTTTGTTCTATTTTGCTTGACTTGGCTTGATTTTGTTGTGATTGTTCATTCGTTTGTTTGTTTGTTTGTTTGTTTGTTTGTTTGAGACTGCGTCTCCCTGTGTAGCCCAAGATGGCCTGAAACTTTCAATTCCGCCGCCACAGCCACCGAAGTACTGGGCTTACACAAGCATGCGGCACCACACCCAGCCGAACCTTCCGGTTAACTCAAAGGCAAAGTTAGGCAATCCACACACTTGGATCCACCAAGCTTCAGTTTTTCTCCTGAAGCCCAGACATATGTTTCATTCAGGATGACTGACATTTCAGGGAGCATGTGACTTAGTAACCAAGGGAGCTGGAGAGTCATGTGTGAAAGCCCAGGTGAGGCCAGGTGCACAGGACTCTACAAATACAGTCCACAGATACTACATTCACATACTCATCTCCAGCAAAGAAGAGCTACTGGTCGCAGCCAGAGCTGGCGATTGGTCTTGGGACTTTTCTCCACATCACAACTTGAAAACTAGATCTCTAGTGACCTGTGGAAATACTGTTCCTGTTACCTTGTGCAGATAACTAATTGGAAGCTAAGGAACCCTCAGGAGCTCGAATACTTTCTTGTAGAATGAACTGGTAGTGAAGCTATAATTCTTGAACGCAAGATTTATTGTAAGTGAGAAAGCACTGGCCCAAAGTTTAATTTACCTCACTATTTCTTATGACTTGTTAGTTTGACACCACTACAGCAAGAAGATGGCTGAAGCCACACGGCTCAATGGTAGCCAGATATTTTCAGAGCCGTGGTCAGTATTTTAAGAATCCTCCCTCACTCAATTAAGATCAATAAGTAAAAGCAAATGCAAGGATATAGAGCCCATTTGATTGAAAATAAATCTCATTAATTCTGACTTTCCATACATTTCCATAGTTAAACATTGTCAGTGTTCATGAGAAAAAAAATTAGAATGAGACAAATGGGAATATTACAAAAAGCATTCATATCCTTAATGTGAAGTTGGTTGTTAATGAGAGTTCAAGGCAACAAAGCTGAAAATCCGTATTTTAAGATAACTTTTTATTCCGTTACATACACCCCATTTCTTAGTCCTATGAATATGGAACACCGTTGCCATAGTAAATAACTGCTGCAAATCCGGTTACATTCCTGATGTCTTCCTAACTCTGTTTATTAAGAATGTAATTTGTCTTTCTATTTAAATAATTATTTCTGAAATCACCGTAGGTCTCTAAACCTTAAAAACTGTAATTTTTCTTTATTCATCGTCCACTGTGCTTGTCATGTGTGTCCCTACCCCAGCAGCCACCTCTCACAGTGGCAGGTCCTTGATTTGTGTCGTCGTCATCATCTACCCTTCTGCTTATGTCTGTGGACACAGCTTCCATCAGGTCGGCTGTTGGATAAGATGTGAGACCTGATCCTCAGCACAGAAGACAACATCCTGTTCCAGCCTGCTCTGTTGTCTCCGGAGTCTGGCTTCTCTGTAACCAGATATCCTCAGAGCCTTTGTCTCTACTTCCCTGGGTATCAGCAGCCCTCCCCACCCCATCCTTGGGCTGCAGTATCTCTAGTTGACAGACCCCATAGAGATGTCTTGATCCTTGTCGTCCACTGTGGCACTGTTAATGGTACTCGTGACTCCCGAGACCTCTCCCTTTCCTGCTTCCACCCACCAGTGACTCTCTGAGTCATCCTCATGATTCTCCTTCTTTCCTCTGCTGCTGACATCCTGGGCTGTAGCTGGGATTTTGTACTCTTAACCTACATTTGCATTTGCATTAACGAAGATACTATACTTTGAAAAATGATCCAAAGACACAAGGAACCCTTTTCTGCCATTCCAGTGCAAGAATCCTTTCCTTCCATAGTCTACCATTTAAGAATCTGGGGCCGGGAGTGGTGGTGCACACCTTTAATCCTAGCACTGGGGAAGCAGAGGCAGGTGGATTTCTGTGAGTTCAAGGCCAGCCTGGTCTACAGAGTGAGATCCAGGACAGCCAAGACTGCTACACAAAGAAACCCTGTCTCAAAAAAAAGGATCTGGGGTGTCTGCTCTGTAATTTAGACAATTAACCACTTTTGTCATTGAATACTGCATACCTGATTATATCCAGCACAGTCTAAAGACTGTAGTGGATATACTGAACACCCCCAAGTCAGCTTCCTTAACTAGTGTTAGTTAAGTTGAGATGTTCTTAGAGTACACATAGCTGTACATTTATTAATTTGGAAACATAGTCTGCTCTGCCAACTTAAGGATTCGTTCCCATTGCTTCAAAAATGTTGTGGGTCCTTTTGTTTTACTTTCCTTCCCAACATATAGGAATCATAACAAAAACAACAAGCAGTAGGTACGTTATAATATTGATGGTCCTGATAAGGAACTTAAGAAAATATGTGGATGCACACTTTTTTAAACTATGGAACTTAGAGTTGTAAAATTGGACTGACTACTATGTCTTCCCTTCCCCATGATTAAGGAGATGACTATAATGGTCATCATAAATTGGAATAAAATATAAATCATATATAATTTAAAAAAGAAAACTTAAAAACTATTAAGTAGTCTGTCCTGACAGATAAAAATTACTACAGCCTTAGATGTTCAAATGCCTAACCAAAAACCAACTTACAGAGCTTGAAGGTGTGTCTGTGGCCGATCCGCAGGGAAGAGGAGGTGATGGTATCTTGGTGGGAAATACCTTGATCAGTTTCCAAACATATTTATGCTCGAATTTATTTTAGTATGGCTTAGCAGATGTCAGATTTGCTGCATTTAAGCAACCTGAGTAAGAATAATAAATTTTCAGATCTCGTTATAGAAACTGAGATGCAAACTGCAAAGCTTTTGTTTTTGTTATGACTCAACTGGAAGACTTACCAATGAAACAGGGTCTGAGGGGCGGTGGAGTCACCCCACTTCCCAGGGTTCCCTGGGTCCCTGGGTAAGCCATCAACGTTGGTGTCCACCCTCCACTATTTCCCGTCAGTCTGTGGGACTCAGCCTCTCTAGTTCCGTCATCCTCCCAAACAACATGTCAGTGTGTCCTAATGACTTCTGTAAAGCACTTTGTAAATGCTGTTTTCTCATATCTGGAAGAAAAGAAATTGTATTTGCAGTCTAGTTAGTGATTTAACCTGAGTAAGGTAGGAGTCTTCTTTTCTGGTGTTCTCCAGAACACAGAGAAAGAAGTGGCTACAGTGTCACCCCCATTGACTGCCCCAGTACCTCTGTTCCTCCAGCATGACTTTCATTTGCTTTGTATATGTATGTCACATACAGTTTTCCAGAGAAAGGGACACATACACACACACACACACACACACACACACACACACACGGCGAATTGAAAGTGCAAAACCATTTTCTTAAACTAATAATGTCTAGTCCTTTGATGAATAAATATAGAAACATTTTAATAAACTTAATCAGATTATGATAAGCACTTGGAAAATCAAGATAGAACTTGAGAAAATCTGTGCCCTGAATCTTTAGAAATTTTTGTTTTGGCTACTGTATTTAAAATTTTGAGTAATGTATCTAATCAAAATGAAGACATAAAATGGAAGCTTTTGCCACTGTAGTATTTCCAACTGTATGTTTTTCAAAGGTTTATTTTTTGTTTTAATTAAGTATATAGCTGTGTGTCTGTGTTGGGGTTTGTGCACATGAGTGCAGTACCAATGGAAGCCAGGAGAGGATGCTTGATCCCCTGAAGCTGGAGTCACAGGTGCTTGTAAGTGCCTCAAAGTAGATACTGAAAACCAAAGGCCCACTGTGCTCCTAACCACTGGGCCAGCTCTCCAGTCCCATAACTCTACACATTTTTTATTGTTGAATTAGTAATATTAATCTTATCAAATTAAGTGAAATTTAATAAAGAAGCAAGCCCCTGTACTAACCAATTTTCAAACTATGACAGAGTTTGAATATCATACCCTGACCATAAAAGGCTTTTCTGTGCACAAAGTACCTTTCCCCTTCCTACACATACCTCTCCCATCCTCTCTGAATTGTCAAGGTCCCAGAGGGGCAGCGACCGCCTGAAGGCATTAGAATTGAGAGGCTGCAGAGCTGGCATGGGGATGGTTGGTCCTGCCGAAGGCACATCCATTCTAGAGCCCGTGTGTAATCATCAGTGACTTGAAAGAACTGTCCTTCCAAATGGCACCTGTTAGTGTGCTTCAGTCAAACTAATGCTTGGTCCATAAATAAGCCTAAAAGGCATTAAGAATGTGTCGGGAGCGCTGGGTGATTGATCTGTGTAGTGTCTATCATGAAAATAGACCAAAGGCACGAGAGTTTCTTCCCTGTGGAAATCATGGTGGTAAATTGCCATTCGTGTCCCTGTTCCAGGCCTTGCTGATCAAATTGTGGATGTAACAGCTTCACAGACTGAACTTTCAGTCTCTTGAGATCTTCAGCATCTTTCCTCAGAGTAGAAATACAACTGTGCCTTGCTCTGCGACCTCATGAATGGGCTCTCACAGGGGATAGCACTGCTTTCAGCCTTTCCCAACCCTGACTTCTAAGGCTTGCTACTGTTCAAAAGGCTAGCTAGAAATGTTTTTGTGTTCACTTGAAAGGTAAGGGAGGAGTGCCAGTGTGGGGGCATAATGTGCCATTAAGGTTGAGGGGACAGATTTAAGCTAACAGGGAAAAGTCCCAGACCTATTTTCCTGTGAAAGTTTGCTAGCAAAGTCCTTGGGCAAATTTTAACCCACCTCACTCCCCTGTGTGTGCCACCGGGTTCAAAAGCAGGCTAGACTAACAGAGCAGCTAGGCAGAGGTGCCCTGCATTACTGTTCTGTCTGCCCTTCAACTGTTCAACCAACATTTGGCCTTGCTCCACCAAGTTCCAGTACTGATGGAGACAGGGTTCCTCCTTCATAGAGCACACTGCCTAGTGAGATATAGAAACGTGAAACACTGGTAAACATATAACAGTAACCTCTTCTGAACTCGACATTAATAGAGCAGTCACCTTCTCATTTTGTGTCTGAATCCCATAGAATCACAAATCCTGTAACTCCAAGGAAAGTCCATACATCCACATTGGTTTTATTTTACCATATATCTACATTTAATATTTTCAATGAAAGCTATACAGTCATTGTTATTGGAAGGCTTTAGACACATTAGGAGTTTAAACTTTTTCATATTTAATATACAGTGAATATCTAGACTCACCCAATTGTCCTAACTAACTGGTCATATTTGTTTCTTATAATCAAAATGCATTATATGCTTGTATGAAATGCTCAAGGAATTAATAAAAATATTTTTAAAGCAATAATGGATCTATTTTTGCAATACTTTTTATAATGGACAGAGAACGTGAAGTTTCTCTGCCTTTGGTATTAATTTTATGCTATTTAGTTTCACTGGTTGGACAAGGGCTGCAGCCAAGCCAACCACACTTGAAACAAAGGTCTTTTGCAAGCACAAGACACTCACCAGTTACTTCTGATATCAGCCTGCCTTGGCCTCAGCCCAGCCTGTTAGTTCAAACCCTAAAAATAAACACCTATTACTTAGCTAATGGCAACATGAGTGGACCAGTCCTCTGACTGAAGGACCTAGGCTAACATCAGTCAGTGGCTCCTCCGGTCACCGAGGATGAGATGGGAAGCAGTCGGGAATGTCTCTGCAAAAAAAAAAATCTCAACCTTAACAAACTGTTTAAAGTAAGTCCTTTACGGCTCTCCACATTGATGGTTGGCTTTTCACTTGGCGAAATCCAAGCGCTACCTGAACCTGCTGCTTTGTGGGCTCCATCCTGGAGGCAGCTGGTGAGGCAAAGCTGCAGGGTCCTTCAGTGTCCAGGGCCAGCTCCGCCTTGTCTGACTTTTAATCAAAAAAACAATCAGAAGGGAACTCAGGCCTGGAAGTCCTTATCATCATAAAATCCAGCTAATGACTCCTTGTGAAGTTCAATAAAGTTGCCATGTAACTCACTAAAGGAAACTGTTCGTCGTTCACCTTGTGCCCACTGAACTTCTCAAGGCATACAAATCAGAGGAACCCTGTGGAGCCTCAGGAAACTGTTTATATATACATACTTTGTCTCAACCACTCAGGAAAATTGAGCCTGCAGTATAGTTTCCAGGGTTTTTTTGAATGGCAGTCTCTTTTTTTCTGTATGTGGTGGGAGTAGGGAGGAGATAGTTTGTTTTAGTGTATACATTTCTTTAATGTGTTTACCCCCAAATAAGTGAGCTGCAGTAGATACTTTGGCCCCACACAAAGTAAATATTTAACTCAGGGATTCCACACAGAAATGAGCCTGGAGTATTTGGGTTTCGAGCAGGAGGACTGCCCTTGGGCAGAAAGGGCTGCCAGCGGTCCTCGGTCATTGATGGGCTCCTTGGCCCTCAGCCACCTTCCTCTGTGGTGTCAGGCCCCGTCCTCATCATCCCCGCCCCCGCACACCTGTCCAGCTGTGTTTTCTCAAGGCTCCCCATCTTGCTCTAGTGTTAATCTTGTGTGCTCATCCACATCTGCATCTCTGTGCCTTTGCAGTGTCTTCCCTTCTTATCCCCCCTCACCCCTGCCCTCAGGACTTTCTCTGAAGACCACCCCACCCTACCCCACCTCACCCCCTCTCGGCTCTCCCGGGCCTTTCCAGATAAAGTGAAGATTCTTTCTTCTGGCCACAGAATAGATGTTTTTAAATCTATCTCCCTTTATCATAGTTTCTGAACCTGCCCACACTGCTGGGAGCCCCCGGGAAGGCAGGGTCTATCCTTATGTTTCAGTTCCACCTGGCAGCTTCCTTGGGAAGGCGGAAGACCACACTCTCCCGGTTTACAGATGAGGAGATGGGAGCTAGCCATTGTCTGCAGGTGGGAGGTGGAGTTGGTTCATCTAGGCATGCCCATTGCTTCTGTGCGATCCTTTCTGGTCTCTGTGTGTGATTTTTGAGCACGTCACCCCTGACAGCCTCAGCTTCCTCCGCTGTCACATCAGAAGAATGCAATCCAGACCAGCTGTGGCACTGTACAGCTGTGGAAATAGAGTGAGAGTGACGAAGCACTGTGCCATCAGCAGCCAATCAGTGGAGCCAGGGTCACCAGCCCTCATCCTGTCCTTTGAATGCAGGCAAGCAGGGTTCGGTACTCACTCTGGGTCCTACAACAGTTACTCTGAAAAAGAGAAGTGGGGTTCTATCTCTGTATTTCTTTCCTGCATTTCTCTGACAGAACAAATTCATTAGCCTCAAGGAAAAAGGAAGCTTTAGACGTCAGTTCTGGCCACTGAGTTCCCTAAGACCTCACTGTGTCACACCCTCCACCCCAAGGCCATCTTCAGTGTCCCAAAAGTTTCCTGTGTTCTGTCAGGGACAGGGCTAATCCCAAACTTCAACTATTACTGTTTCTCCAATTATCTGGAGATTTTATTGTTATTTTTAATCTCCCTTCTAGAGACCCTAAATAATACTTTTTAAATGCGTCCTTAGACTGCAACACTTGGGAGAGCAGGCCCTGCACCTTGCCTGGGCAGCACAGTAGAGCTCACCCTGTTGTCAGAGGTGTGGGTGAGCCAGCCCCAGTGTTGCAAGCAGGGAAGAGATGCTCCCACCATCAATACCTGAGGCAGGTGGAGGAGCTGGCCCTGAGGTCATAAGAACAGAAGAGGTAGCTAAGTAGTGGTGGCACATGCCTTTAATCCCAGCACTCAGGAGGCAGAGGCAGGTGGATCTCTGTGAGTTCAAGGCCAGCTTGGTCTACAGAGCAAGTTCCAGGACAGGCTCTAAAGCTACACAGAGAAACCTTGTCTCAAAAAGAAAACAGGAGAGCTGGCCCTGCCCCTGGCTCATCGCTATAAGGGGGTGAACTAGCCAGAAGAGTTCACCCTTGTGGCAAATGGGAAAACTGGTGGGCTGACCAACCCTGCAACTACCCAGGCCCAGAACCAGGGTTATATGTCAGCCCACCCCATCTGTGATCTGCTGGAATGGGAGTGGGTGGTGGGGACCCAGGGCTGCAGGATATCCACTACACAAGGCAGCAATGAAATGTCCAGGAAGAGTCCCAGTGAGGACCCAGCATCTGTGATACAGCAGAGACCAGGGACCTTGAACCAGACCAGTGATTCCTTGCAATAAACACCTGCATGTAAAGACATATGGACAAAGGGATTTACTGTGTGACTCATGGTTTCACACTGCAGCTTCCATGCTGAGATTTTCCCCTTCTTCCTTTTTTTTTTTTTTTTTTTTTTTTTCCCCCGAGACAGGGTTTCTCTGTGTAGTTTTAGTACCTGTCCTGGATCTCACTCTGTAGACCAGGCTGGCCTCGAACTCACAGAGATCCACATGGCTCTGCTGAGATTAAAGGCGTATGCCACCACTGCCCAGCTACCCTTTTTTTTCTCTTAAATTTTTTTCTCTTAAATTTTATTTTGGGTTTTGTTTTTTGTTTTTGTTTTGTTTTGTTTTGTTTTTTGGTGTGGGAGAGCAAGTGGGATCAGGAGGCATGATGTAAAAGACACAAAGAATTAAAAAAAAATGCTTCCTTAGTCTGGTAGAGAGAACTCAGTCAATAAAGTGCCTGCACTGCAAGCCTGAGACCTGAGTTCAGATCACAAGCACCCACACGGAAACCAGATGCAGCTGTGCACATCTGTAATCCAAGCAGTTAGGTAGCAGAAATGCAGACCCCTGAAGCTCATCAGCCAGCCAACCTAGTGAGATCAGTAAGCTACAGGTTCATTGAGAAACTCTGTCTCAACAAATAAGGAAGAAAGTGATCGAGAAAGAAAGCTAACGTTGACCTCTGGCCTTTACACACACATGTATATACACCTATGGACAAATACATACAGATGCAAAAAAAAAAGAAGTAAAAATGCATTTTGGTTTTATCTAATTATCTAACAATACTAACATGCCGCCATAAGTGCTTTAAGTGTATGATTTTAAGCATATTCATAATATTGTGCAACAGATCTCTAGGACTGTTTTATCTTGACAGCCTGAAACTCTAGCCTCTCCTGCCCATGGCGCCTACCTTTCTGCTTTCTGTGCCTATGATTCTGGCACTGACACATTGATGTCCTTGACATGGGCACAGCCATGTCAACAACACACATCCACTAGAACTTGAACTCACTCTCTGCCGTTGAGCTGTCTTGTGATGTGTGACAAGACCTCTTTTGTTTTTTAAGGTTGAATAATATTCTATTGTTGTGTACAAAACTTTCTTTATTCATTCATCTATCTATCAGGATATTTGGGTAGTTTTGTTCTCTTATTTTCAAAGGAACATTGAAACCATTCATTATAAAGAACTATTAGTGTTGGGAAGACTTCAGAATGCTAACCACAGAAAAATGTCCTTTGGATGGTGCGGTAAAACTGCAGGACAGCACCTGAGTTTGGTTTGTGTAGTCCTCCTTGTGTCACTTGGCATGGTGGTGCTGTGTCACCAAAAGCAGGAACCTGCATTTCAATCACTGGCATCGTGGGAGTTCCTCGTGGTCACAGAAAGCAATCCAGCTCTTGTTTTCAAAGGCAGGAAGAACTAAGAGAGCTGCCACCCCACTCTGTGGCTCCAGAGCTGAGCAACTGTTCACACAGCTGCTCAGCAGCTTGCAAAGGGTGGCAATAAATGTGTACAAGTTCAAGTGCCTTAACCCCAGGATATACCTTATCAATGGGGAAACTAAGGCACAAAAAGAGTTTTAAAATAAGGCCATAGATGGCCCTTTCTAGCAACCATATTTCATAGAGAAAGGATATATCTACTGTGAAAGCAACCACGTTAAAGGCAAGACCCTTACCTTGAGACTAGAAGGGAGAGGGATTTCAGAGCCATGCTTCAAGGATCAGAAGATCTGGGAGAGTCATATCACAGGAGGCAGTGGGATGCAGTTGCTTAGTGAAGGAGCCCTGCATGGGTCGGGTCTGGACTGGCATCTTCCTTTAGACAGCATCATGCTTACCCCTTACACAGGTAAGCTGTCTGGCCTATGCTGGCTAGTTGTATGTCAACTTGACAGTCTAGAGCAGTGGTTCTCAACCTTCCTAATGCTGTGACCCTTTAATACAGTTTAATTAGTGACTGATGGGGCAGGGCCCATCTTATTGTGAGTGGTGCCACCCCTGACATGGTGGTCCTAGATTCTATAAGAAAGCAAGCTGAGTAAGCCATGAGGAGCAAACCAGTAAGCTGCACCTCTCCATGGCCTCTGCTCCAGCTCCTGCCTCCAGGATCCTGCCCTGTTTGAGTTCCTGTCCTGGCTTCCTTCAGTGGCAAACAGTGATGAGGAAGTATAAGCCAAATAAGCCCTTTCCTCTCCAAGTTGCTTTCGGTCGTGATGTTTCATTGCTGCGATAATAACACGAACTGGGACACCAGCCTAACCACATCTCTACTTCCTCTAGTACCAAGGAGCACTTCTGCCTGGCAGACTCATTGCAAGGATTAGCTGAGATCACATGTACCCCTTATTTAACACAGGACCAGACATAGTAAATGGTTAGTCGTTACTAATCCTCTTCATCATGACTAGTTCAGCACAACTGTATGATGCTTTCTCAGCAAATATGGATGCTATCACAAGTGGTTCAGAGAGATACACATGCAGGCAAAATACCCATAAAATAAAAAACAGATTTTTAAGTAAAGCTGCTATTTCCAACCCATGGGGCTTTTGTTTTAAATGATACAATGTAAATAAAAATCCTAACAAGAATATCTGAGACATATCAAATATTTAATGAGTACTACTGGCTCTTAAGATTATGGTTATGTTTTTATAATTGTTGCTGATATCATTTTAGTCAAAGAAATAGTAAAATAGTTTTTATCTTCTTCCAGACCCAAATGGAGCTAGCATGCCATTAAAATAAGGCTGGAGCAAACTCTGCCTGGGTTAGCTGCAGAGGTGTTACACTGACTAGAACACCTTACTCTGGCTGTCTAGAAAGAAGCAAGCAGAAGTTGGTTCCTGGGCTCCTGGGGCCCAGCACTGATGAGTGACGGGCCTTCCTCCTAGGAAGCCCTGCCGTCAGCATCCTCTGTGTCCTCCTGGCCCTGCGAGCACCTGCAGTCTCGAGTGGGACCGTGGACCTTCTCAACCCCTCACCAGTTCCCCTCTTCACTGCACAGTGTCCCTGGCTCCTGGCTTCCTTCTCTGACTCCAGCACTAAGGAATCTCACTGACTTAGCTTTACAGCAATAAAATTGACCTTTCAAGTTCACGTTCATAGTGCCCTTTTTGCTTTCCTTTTCTTGGTCTTATGTAGGTTTTACCATTTTTGTGCACATGACTCTTTGGGGGGGGGGAAGACAGGTTATAAACACATGAAAAGCCTCATGCCAGCACAGAGAAGCTATGATTCTCTTCTGAGGGGCCCTGTAGAGGGTGGTGGAAGGTTCAGCAGGGTGTGTGGCTGTTGTTTTGAAAAGGGACGCTCGAGGCCCGCAGCCTCGGCTGACCTGTGTGACACAGGGCTCCAGGATGGTGTTTGTGGTCAGGGAGGGCAAAACCCTGTGACCTACACAGATCTGTTCACTTTAATAGTCAGATATCTCCTCGGTTATCTTAAGCACCTTAAGGTATTTGGAAAGGGAAGGACAAAATAAAACAGGGGCGGGAACAGTAGTACTTCATTTTGATTGACGTTTTTACAACCTTATCATCTAGATAAAAGCAACTGTAAACCAAAGCCTACCTAAACTGATTGTATTTAAAAGAAGTAAAAGCCACCAGGGCGCAGCAGTAGGCTTCAAGGTTTTTAAGATTAGGATTCTTTTTTGTTTTATGGTTTGGGTTTGTTGGTTGTTTGTTTGGTTGTTTGTTTTCTTAACAACAAATTCCCACAAGTCCTTACCATAACATCATGTCCCCATGACATCCTACAAAGCACAAGGACCTACTGGCAATCACAGCAGTCAGGCAGGGACAATGTGACCTTAATTCAAGGCTCATTTTTTTGCTTGTAAAAGACCGATTCGTGGTAGAGTTATCAGCAAAAGGGTCATTAGAGGTTTCGCTTGGGAGACAGGTGTGCAGGGTCCTACAGCAGAGGCATGCATTCTAAGCATCACACTCAACTAACCAAACACCAGCTGAGTCCTTTGTGTCCTGAAATGTAAGTGGCCCTCAGACAGCTCACATTCTGAAAGTGCATGTTTGATAACTATCAATTATAATTACATGATTGGGGGGGAGGGGTGAATTTTTTCACTTTCCTTTACCTGATCCCTTTTCTTAGCTTCTGATTGGTTTTTCTCATTTCCAGCATTTTCTTTCATGAATATAGAAAATGGAACGGTTTTATTTGGGGGGTGGAGTGGGGGGCAGGGAGATGATTTGGTTAGCAGAAGAGATTTTCCTTATCATGAAATATTTGCTGTAAAAAGAGACAATTTAACTATCCATTTAGAGCAAATTGGGATCTTGCATACCTGAAGCGTTGTATCACACTTGCTTAATGATAGATTTATAGTGTAAGTGCACATCAGCCTTAATCCCTTAGTTATTTGACTTTGCCAGGGATAAAGATTCTGATTTTTTTTAAAGCAGACTTTTATATATTCAAAACCTATAAATCTCCCAGTGCCTTGAGATAAATGTCTCACTGAACTCTGAGTTACCCTGAGATCTTTAGCGAATTGAGTCAAAGTAAAAGAAACTCCATCTGTCCTATTCCTAACAATAAAAGTCTACCTGAGGGAGGGGGGAACATATTTGGCATAAGTGGTATTTGTGTAATAAACTATTTTCTAGTTAGTAACACATTTCTAATCTCCAGGAAGTTGGGCAGGAGAACTTAT